CCAGATTGATCTGCAAGAACTCCAGGACATACTCCAAAGCTACAGAGAAACCCTGCCTCGAAAAAATAAAATAATAATAATAATAATAAATTCCCAATTGTCTTACTAAATCCTCCCATGATATTGATGAAGATGTGAGGCTTATTGCTACTGCATAGAACAGGCCTGACTGGATTTTAAGGCAGCTACCTAGTTTGGCAGCAGCCCGAGAAGAGGGTTCAGGGAGAACCTGCCAGGAGAGAAAAAAGAAGTCCTAGCTGGTAGGGCAGTGACGCCAGCTGTGTGTTGCTCTGGCCTTTGCCAGTGACTGTAAAGCCACAGGCAAATGGCTTTTTCATGAATTTGTACCCCAAACATTGGGTGACAAATGGAGCACAAATAATAAAAACCAAAGACAGATATTGGGGTTCAACCTAAAAATCAGAAAAGCAAAGCAGCCAGCCACTGACCTCCACCATAGACTTAAAATAGATAATCTTGCCTCCAGGAATCCTCAGATCGAGACTGAGACTAAGACCTGTCTCCTCCTATCTTACATTCCTCTCTAGTGCTAGGATAAAGGCATGCACCACCACTACCTGGCCTCTCTGGCTATCTAATGTGGCTACTGGGATTAAAGGTGTGTACTACCACTGTCTGGCCTGTATGACTGACAAAAGTGGATGCTTTGCACTGATCTTTAGGCAAGCTTTATTTGATGTGGGACTCCCCTCTCACTGTATGCTGTGAATGCTTTATTACCATTTTTTACTAAAGAAGCTAATTTGGCCAATGACAGGCCAGAATATAGCGAGGCTGGAAGAAAGAGATAATAGAGAGATAGTATGCAGAGTCCTTGAGACGCCATGTAGCTGCCAATGTATACAGATGCTAGACCCTTACCAGCATGGATCTACATAAAACTAAAAAAAAAAACTTTATAAAAGGGGAGCTTCTAGACACACAAAATGGGAGTCAATTGGATCTTCTTGGTAGCCACGTTTTTTCAAATAGGCTCTGTTTGCTGGCAGTGAACAGAGGTACGGCTCCTTTTAAGAGAAGGCTTCCTGAGTCAGCATTAGCAGCAAAAACTGTGGGGCTCCTTTAAGAGTCAAATTTCTGGTTTGTGCTGACAACACGAACTCTGGCTATTTTGGGAGGTCCTGTACTTAAATGGGGTTTCTGAGCAGAGTGCTACAGATTGATTGATTAATAACAACATATGCTCGCTGTGTCCATGGAACTAGGGTGGTGAGCATGGCTTGCAGAGGCGGTGAATTTAGCATTTTGAATTGGATGGAACAAACAGGCAGGCCCGCAGAGTTGATCCTAGCCACTCCCACTTAGCATTAAGAAAAAAGCACTCCTTTCAGAAAATGATTACAGATATACAAAATAGATATAAAAGACCGCTAAACGAGACACAGTGTGTTTTTAAAAAATAAGTTAGGTTTGGGAGAGAGAGGAAAAAGTATAGACAATTATAAAAAGAAGTAAGAAGTTTAAAAAATAAAACAAAGTCTTTAAAGAGACAGTAAAAGTAATATAAAAGAGTACAGACAGACAGATTAAAGGAGTAAAATTGATTTTTAATAAGCCACATAAAGATGGAATATCCACAAAGTCTGGATTAAGTATATTATTGTGTTTTCTTTGCATTTTTTGACTGCAAAGAGGCATTTGATTCTGGGGGCTATTAGGTTAAACCAACATAAAGGTATCTTGACTTCAAAATTTTCCTTTGGAAAAGAGTTTCTGTTTTTGTTTCCACAGAAGAACCTATTAATTCCTTTCAGGCTAATGTGGTTTGCTAGAACAAGACCCCCAGATAGGTCTCAGTGAACCCCAAAAAATACTTGGGCCAATAAAACAGCAGGAAGCAATTTGAGGAAACAGCACCCAAATCCCAAAACGATTGTTTATAAATGTTTATTTTCATTTTAAAAGGGTTGGTTATAAATGATTAATGATCAGTTTCTAAAAATGAAATAAGGGGGATATGATATAGAGATGAATAATTTGCATTGGCATGGATATAGGTCTTTTGATACAAATTTAAGGTTGATTTTGATATACTATATATATATCTGCTCTTATTTAAGGTATGTTTATACAGCTCTTTAAAAATATTATATATGATTAAAATTACAGATTAATAGTCATTTATAATATTCAAATTGTATTCATATTAGCTAGGTTTTCTAGATATACAGAGATATATTTCAGTTAGATAATCTTCAACACTTCAAAGACCTACAGAATATGGCATTTAAAATGTAAGAATTTAGACTTTTCTTGACAATGAGACATGTCTGCTTCTGACAGCACCAATTACTTCAGAGAAGTTAATGGGCATTAAAGAAACTCATTTTGAAGTTTGCCTTCTATGTGACAAGGCTAGCCATTTGGAGCAAGAAACTGTTCTTACCTGGACTGCTTGATGGTATGTCATATGAACTGGACAGGCAGGACCCACAGAGAAGTGACTACTGAAATTCCTGAAAGATGGAATTCAGGGTTCCTGCTTCACACCATTATAAGGCAGGACAGATCTTCAGATTTCCTGATTCATGGAAAAGTGTGCTGGATACTGTGGGCTTGTAGGCTAAAGATGGATGACCCAACGTTACAGAAGAACTTTGGATGACTGTCCAGGCAGCAAGATGTCTGTCAATTCTAGAGTTTTGGAAGTTGCTTACAATATGCTTCCTGTTTACTTAGGTAATACTATATCCTTCTGGGGTCTTTGATAGAATTGAAGACTAAATAGTTACAGTTTTCCTTAGTTATGATAAAAGATAAATTATGTGAAACTTTAGACTCACAAAATATATTGTAACTGTAATTCTTGCTTGATACCTGTTTTGTTATATATAATTTTGCTTTGTTGAAGATAAAACCTTCCTTTTTATTTAGACAGAAAAGGGGAGATGATGTGGGATTCCCCTCTGTATGTTGTGAATATGTTTTATTAATATTGATTAATAAAGAAGCTACTTTGGCCTATGTCAAGGCAAAATATAGAAGGGCTATAGAGAGATAGTATGTGGAGTCAAGGAGATGCTATGTAGCTACCAAAGGAGACAGATTTTGGACTTTACCAGTAAGTCACAGTCTCGTGGTGATACACAAATTAATAGAAATGGATTAAGTTAAGATGTAAGAGTTAAGCCGGGTGGTGGTGGCGCATGCCTTTAATCCCAGCACTCGGGAGGCAGAAGCAGGCGGATCTCTGTGAGTTCGAGGCCAGCCTGGTCTACAAGAGCTAGTTCCAGGACAGGAACCAAAAAAGCTACGAGAAACCCTGTCTCGGAAAAAAAAAAAATGTAAGAGGTAATAAGAAGCCTGAACTAATAGGCCAAGCAGCGTTGTGATTAATATAGTTTCTTGTGATTATTTGGGTCTGGGTGGCTGGGAATGAAAGAGCAGTCACCATTTACATTTATTAAAACACAAATAATATACCACTATAGTTAGTAGTTCTACAGTATCCTCTTAAGAACTATTGTTAAACCTCTTTTTATCAAATGGTTATTTCTTCCATATAATCTCTGCATATCCTTGTGCATACTCTTAACCACTTCTAGTTACTTACACTCTCTAATACAATGTAAAGACTGTGTAAATTGTTCTTTGACTATACTTTTTAGGAAATAATGACAAGAAAAGTTTGTATATATTTGAATTCAGCATAGATGCAATGTTTCTAATACTTTGATTCAGGTGAATATGAGTGTAGATCTCACAGATCTGGAAAGATGAGTGTAATTCTGATAAATACACCAGTTTTTTTTTTTTTTAAGATATATAATGTGTACAGTGTTCTGCCTGCATACCAGAAGAGGGCACCAGATCTCATCATAGATGGTTGTGAACCACCATGTGATTGCTGGGGATTGGAACTCAGGACCTCTGGAAGAGCAGTCAGTACTCTTAACCCCTGAGCAATCTCTCCAGCCCCCTGGTTTGTTATATTTTAAATGTTTCTTTGGACAGATTTTAGTGCACTTTAATAAGATTTGTAACTGAAAGGTAAGTTCCCAACTGGACCAGGACTACATAAATATTTGAGAAAGTTGTGGTATCAGAAATTTTATCAGCTATAAGACTAGGATTGTTTAATTCTTATTCAAATTGTCACTAACTTCCCCTTAAATTATCTGAATAATCTAAAGGATAGGTTCTTTTAGCAGATTTCTGCTTTTCATTCTGTGAAATCAGGACCAGTTATAATATTATGGTATAGATGCATTTAGAGTAGGGATGGATAAGAAGTAAAATAGTATTTCAAATGGGATTCAAACAAAAGGAATTGGCTTTGTTCCTCTTCTATATAATGTACTTTTCATTATTGTCTCCTAATATCAATGTCTTTGTAGAAATGATGCTTGGAAACATACCAAAGAGAAACTTGGGGCCTAGAGAGAGAGCTCAGTGGTTTAGAACCCTTGTTTCTCTTACAGACTCCAGGTTCATTTCCTAGCACCAACTTGGAGACCCACAACCCTCTATAACTCCAGTTTCAGAGTGATCTTAACACCCTCTTCTAACCTCTGAGGGCACAGCATATACACATGGTGCACATGCTTATGTACAGACTCAACACTCATAACTCCAAGAGAAAATAAGTTAATTTAAAAAAAAAAACTTGCCTACCTACATTGTTATATAAAATCAGGGTTTGGGAAGTTGTTATTTAAATTCTGACTGGTTGGTTTGGTGGCTACATTTTTGTTTCTTATGGGTTGGTTTGTTTGCTTATTTGTCTTTTAGGTTTTTTGAGACAAGGTATCACCATGGCCCTGAACTCATGATTGACATGCCTCTGCTTCTGCATGGAGATTACAGGCTTGACTATACCCAACTAAAGCTACTAATTTATAGACAGTTTAATACTTGCAGTAGATTCTATAGATAAAACAAGAGACTGCTATGAATTCTAGAAGCTCTGCTCTGTGGTTAGGTAAAGCATATTTTGATCTATCTGTCCTCATGACAAGTTTTCTGCCATGTGTTTTCAGGACTCTCAGATGTCAGAAGTGGCCAGCAGAGAGCTCCACGCACAAGCACAAGAACGACTTCAGCACTATTTTATGGGAAGGGCCATAGAAGAAAGAGCCCAGCAGCACAGAGAAGCTCTGATGGCTCAGATCAGCACCAATATTGAACAGATGATGAGTATGCTCTGCTTCCTTCTGTTTTATAGAAGGAATAACCCATGCAAGAGATGTGACATCCAAAATCTGTAGAAGGATGATGCCACACACAAATAGTCTTTATCCCAGCCCTCAGAAAATCTTACATCATCCCAGTTTTCAATGATATTTACTCTGTAGTTTCTGTTTGTGCTTGTTTATAAACTTGGATATTTCAGCTTCATCAAAATTACTAATTTCAAAGATGTTGTGTCCTACTAGCCACATTCTGTGCTGTAGTCCCCAAAGCCTTCTTTTAATTTTTCCATATTTTAGAAGACAATGACAGTAGTTACAGTACAGCACACTTATAGAACATTTATAACTTTTAATAACATGCCTTTACCAAAGTTTCCATCTTTAGCTAACAAAATTTATTCTTTTGTTTTAAGCCTGGAAGTTGCCAAGGGTTTGGGGTTGTTGCTGCCACTCACAACTGTAACTTTTGGCTAGAAACCTTCCTTCATAGTTAGCAGTGACAACACATTCAGAGTTGAAACCCTGTCCTGTTCCTGGCTGTACATGGGCCCCAGCTCTGCTGTTTCTAGGCTGCTGCTTGCCTGGCACACTTCTACTAACCATTTACTTTCTGTTTGCTGTAGAGGCACCAAGTCTGAAGGAGGCAGAAGGAAAGGAACCTGAGCATTTCCTAAGTAGATCTAGGCCCGTGGCAGCCAAGGCCAAACAGGCCCATCTCACCACCCTGAAGCACATACAAGCACCTTGGTGGAAGAAGCTTGGAGAAGAACCAGGCGATGAGATTGATGTTCCAAAGGATGATCTTAATATAGAATTAGGAACTCTATTTATTGGTGGAACAAAACCCCCCTAGAAGAGGATAACTGTGAAAATTAGCAATCTTACTTTTTAGGAGATTGCTAGTTTTGCCTCTGGCATGCTGGTAGAGCTACCAGTGGCTTTCCAGAGGATGTTCTTCATGTAACACTTGGAAACAACAAACAGAGCATTGGCTACCTCGGTCCAAGTTCTTTCCCCTTTCTGTATACCCTGTCTCATTCTATTCCCAAACAGATTTGTGGGCTTTATTGTGGGACAGAACTCAGTGTGAAATTCTATTGTTGACATGAAATATGAAATTTCTTTCATTTTTGTTTTCTCACTAAAGGTTTTTTTTTAATAAATATTGTGTTTCTGAAAAACCTGTCAGGATTACTTCAACTTTTCACATTTGTTATTCAGAATTTCCATTATTATTATTATTATTACTACCGTTGTATTTTTTTTACCTTGACAAAGTTTAGAAAAAGGCAGTCAGTTAAAGGATATTTCATTATCTGAAAAAAACAGAAGCAGCAGAAGGAAACAGTAGGTTATACTTTATATATTGTAAAAATAATGTATTTTAAAATTATTTTTATGTGCATCAGTGTTTGCCAGCATGTGTGTCTGTGTGAGGGTGCTGGATTCCTTGGAACCAGAGTTAGAAAAAGTTTGTGAGCTGCCATGTGGATGTTGTGAACTGAAACTGGGTCCTTTGGAAGAGCAGCCAGTCTTAATCACTGAGTGTCTCTCTAGTCCCCTCCCCCCAAATAATGCATTTTTTTGAAGCTGAGTCTCACTATGTAGCTCTAGCTAGCCTTTAATTCACAAGACCAGGCTGGCCTATACTCACAGAGTTCTACCTGCATCTGCCTCCCAATACTGGGACTAGAGACATGCCACCATGCTTAGCTATATTTCCTTTTAGAAGTGATAATGGAAAATAAGTTCAATTACTGGGTTTTGTTTGGTTTGGTTTCCTTTTTCTTTCTTTTCTTTTTTTTTTTTTTTTTCTTTTTGAGTATGAGAGTGGAGGTCAGTGTGTAAAACATCCAGAAAATAGTGTCAGATTCCACCAGAGTTCAAGTTACAGGGGGCTGTGAGACACCAGACAGTGATATTCAGAACCCGACTTGGGTCCTCTGCAAGAGCAAGTGCTCTTAACGACTCAACTGTCTCCAACTGCTTACGCTGATTTTCAATAAAATAACCTTTAGTTGGCCACTTTTTCTAATCTATAAAATCATATGACTCATTAGTATAGATTATACTTGTGGTATATATGGCATACATATATGTGATATATTTACATGCAACTTATATATTAGACAAATATTTGAATAAGTTTTAAGTTGAAGATACATCTAGAAATACATCTGGATAACAAACAAAGCCATAGGAAAGTTTTGGGATGTCTGTATTTGGCATAAAAGAAGATGAAGGGGGGGCTTTGAGAAAATAACTGTCAAGGGGAAACAGAACAGAGTAAGAGTAAAAAGACTGTCTTTTAAAAACTGTGTATTCTTTCATTCCTACATGATGCAATGCATTTTGATCATGAACACCCTCACTTTTTTATTCCCCTCCCAGACCCTCTAAAAACTCCAGCGACCCCAGCTGTCTTTAAAAAACAACAAAACCACTGAGTTTAATTTCGGGTTGCCTTATGTGCATGGGTGAGAGACTGTGTTTACTGAATCGTGTAATACTAATGGTGACATCCCTGAAAAATACTGACTCCCTTCCCCAACAGGCATTAACTGCAAGCAGCTATTTAGCTAGGAGTGAGGCCTCACGTGCTCCTCCAACCATCCTGGACTATTGACAAGCTTGAGTGAGTGATGTTATGCAAGTTACCGTAGCTGCCAGTTAATTCATGTATGCAGCAGCCATGTCTTGTCCAGAAAGCAGCTTTTAAAGGCAGTTCTTCACATCCAATTTTTAAATTTTTCCTGCCTCCTCTTCTGTGCTGTTCTCTAAGCCATGGTGGTTGGGAGTGAGACTGATGTCCTTTTCAAGGCTGAGCACTTGATGGTTCATTATTCTCAGTCCTTTGACTAGTTACAAATTTCTGCATTCACCTTTGCTCATGGCAAAAAGAAACATAACTAATCAGTGGGTATACACATATTTACAAGTCAATGTGGAAACATGTCCATTCAGCAAAATAATAGACGTTCCTTCCTAGTGTCTATACCTTCCCAGCTAAGGACTTTTGGACAAGACTTACAATACCAGACATGAATTCCCTTTTGTAGAGCCTGCCTGATATCAAACCAGATAAGGTTCACCGCCATTGTTGCACCACTGAGCACCTTATGTGGCAGGCCAGTATTGTTGCATGCAACGTCCACTGTAGGCTAAGACCAATGATAACTTTTCTCCCGCAGAAACTTTAGGCATACTTTAGCCACTTTCCAGGTCAGTCCCAGATTGATTTCTCTGTCCTGTAATGAAAGTGTATATGTTCTACAATACAGTTTCACCGTCTAGTTCTCGTGGACAACCAAGCACAACTGCAGTAGCTTGGATTTTCTGGGTTTCTGAGCCCTTCTTGGCTAATAACTCATATGGAGCTAGCAATCCCAGACCTAGCACTGGGATTTGTTGAAGAACCCATGAATATATGAAGAGCATAGTCCACCCATACAAAGCATCTCTGTTCAAACTCCATTTTAGAAAACCAGTATATTTTAAAATTAGCTTACAAAGTAGTAGTTTCCATTAGGCTTTCCATAAATCTGTTTTGGTTAGAGATCTCCTAACCCCTTCCTAAAATCTCCATCCCCATACCCCTTTCCACATAGTTTTTCTGCCTTCATTATTTCTCCTCCACACACATCTCCACCCCTGCACTTTAATCCCCTCCCTCCTCAGGCTTCTTTCTCCAATATTACATGTGTGCTGCAGTATAGGACATTTTTTTTGCCCTCAACTTTTTCTCATTGTATATTGAATTAAATAATATTAAAATGATTATAATTGTGTATGATGTGTGTATATGACTTCCATAACACATGTGGAGGTCAGAGGACAACTTTTGTTTCTTTCCTTTTGCCTTCATATAGATTCCAGGGATCAAACTTGGATCATCACATTTGTATGGCAAGGGCTTTTCCAATGAAACCATCTCATGGACCCAAAATAATCACTCTCTGAGAGACACCTGAGTGATAAAAACTTCTTCAGTTTCAGAATAATATTCAAATGTCTTTTCATAAAATGAAACACCAGATTATATAGGCAACATGTTCCTTGCCTATCGGTTCATATCACCTTTGTCAAATATCTCAGTCAATCCACACATGGTGCTGAAACCTACCCCCACTGGTATTCACTCTCACTTGGTGGCAATTCCTAATTATTTGCTTTCGGGAGAGACAATGGAGACACAGACTGACTAACTGCAGACTGGCCTGGAATTCCATTTGTAAATCAAACTGGTTTCAAAATCAGAGATCTGCCTGCCTGTCTCCCAAGTGTTGGGATTAAAGTCAAGTGTCACCATTTGTCAACCCAGTCAATCTCTGAGTCAGTGTGCAGCAGTTGGGTTGCGTTTTAAACCATTTCCGTTCTTCAATAATGTTTGAAGGAGCTTTTAAGGAGCTCAGCTCAGCCCCAACCTCTCCGTGTTTCCTCATTCCATTCCCTTTGTATTCACTGCAGTTCTCTGGGAATGACCAGTCTGGACCCACCCAAGAGTAGGTGGGGCCATGCCTGCTAGATAACTTTATAACTTCTGCAAGGAGAGATCTTAAAACTGAAAGATCTAAGGCGAAATATAGGTATGTGAACCAAGAGATAAAATTCAACTCTTTTTTTTAAATATAATTTTTTATTGAAAAAAAAATTTTCCGCCTCCTCCCCGCCTCCCATTTCCCTCCCCGTCTCCCTTTTCCCCCCTCCACCCACTCCTCACCCCCACCCCCCACTCCACACCCCCACCCTCACCAGTCTGAGGGGCAGTCAGGGTTCCCTGCCCTGTGGAAAGTCCAAAGTCCTCCCCGCTCCATCCTGGTCTAGGAAGGTGGACATCCAAACTGGCTAGGCTCCCACAAAGCCAGAACATGAAGTAGGATCAAAACCCAGTGACATTGTCCTTGGCTTCTCAGCAGCCCTCATTGTCCGCCATATTCAGAGAGTCCGGTTTTATCCCATGCTTTTTCAGTCGCAGTCCAGCTGGCCTTGGTGAGCTCACAATAGATCAGCCCCACTGTCTCCGTGGGTGGGTGCACCCCTCGTGGTCCTGACTTCTTTGCTCATATTTTCCCTCCTTCTGCTCCTCCTTGGGACATTGGGAGCTCAGTCCGGTGCTCCAGTGTGGGTCTCTGTCTCTATCTCCATCCATCTCCAGATGAAGGTTAATATTCAGGAGGACGACTATATGTTTTTATTTGGGTTCTCCTTCTTATTTAGCTTCTCTAAGACCATGAATTATAGACTCAATGTCCTTTATTTATGGCTAGAAACCAAATATGAGTGAGTACATCCCATGTTCATCTTTTTGGGTCTGGGTTACCTCACTCAGGATAGTGTCTTCTATTTCCATCCATTTGCATGCAAAATTCGAGAAGTACTCAGCGGTAAAATTCAACTCTTATCCTGGCTCTGACCCTCCCCAAACACCTTGTACAAACCAGTGTTTTGAAGTTTATTGTATTGCATTTAAATTAAAGATAGTCATACATAATATTGCTTCAGGGACATTTAGTACCCCCTGTATACTATTCTGGACCTGGAGATACAACTGAGATCAAGAGACAAAAACCTTAGGATTTCTTATAATAAACTGTGATAAAGCAATAAGATAGTTACGTTTGGTGGCAAATATATATAGTAAATATACAACTTTAAATAAGCAGCTAAAAGATGTCTTACCGAGCTACTATTTGAGCCTTGAGATTGTGTGATCATTAGGATGAGATTGCAAATATATGAATAATTATATGTATAATGAAATTCCATAAATTCATAGTAACATTCTTACGAAGAATGTCTGAAATCTTTAGGAGTTGGCTAGGTTTCTGCATCCTCCACCGCCGGCCGGCCTTTTATGGAGAAGGAGCACTTGATGAGTGCTAACTGTCTCTTGTTGGAGCTCCTCGCTGACTCTTCCCAGAGCCTGAGCCCTTAAATCTCTGTCTGCTTGCCCCAGCTAAAGTGCCACTTTCCAACTCTTCACTGTCTCTTATTCTCACATCCTGAGCAATACCAGCAAAGGATGCCTTGTGACGTCAGGTGGTAGTCCGACTGTTGCTAAATTGCTGTTGTCTTTCACTAGCCGTGTCTCTGGTTCTCATTTTTTCATATCACAAAGTTAAAAAGCCATACTAAACCAAGTTTCAGGCTCTACTCCGGGTTGGTTTTCACACAAATCACAAAACTAGCAGCTGGTGCCCCTAGTCCAAAATCTCCTCAAAAGCCTGGGCCAAGTCTTTAACAGGAACAGTAGTAGTTAAGAAATTAGCGTAAACCGGAACTCCCAAACTACAAAGCAAACACCTGATCTTTGCAGAATACCCACCCTCTCGGCATTGCTCGGCCTTCTTGGATCTTCTTCCGGGTCACACCCCAACACATAATCATCCCTCAGGCCTCTCCTACTGAGAATCCGTTGGTTCCCCCTTTGAGGAAGTGGAAGGTTTTAGGGCATTGATTGGTGTCAGCCGTTGTGACGCGATAGGTTACAAACAAGGCGTGCCTGGTCGCCATAGTAACGGTCCGTGCGCAGTTCCAATAGGCCAACGTCTCAGTCCCGTCTTCCGTCCCACGGAGAGTGGTTGTGTCCCAGGGGCGCGGCGGCGGAGGCGCTGAGTTTGGGATTCCCGAGCTGACGTGGCTTAGGTCGAGCGGGGGGCGGCCGGCGTTGCCGGTGGCGCCCACCTGCAGGTGAGTGTGGTCGGCAGGCTTCGCAGGGAGCACGGCATCGGCCCGGTCGCGGACCGCTGGCCAGGGGACACCGGGCAGCGGCGCTCAGCTGGCCGCCCCGCCCCTCGGGGCTCCGCCGCCGTCACCTGCCCGGCCTAGGTGGCGCCCGGTGCCCTCCGCCGCCATACGCGGCCCGGGACAGACACCCGGGCGGCCGACTGGGTCGTTACTACCCGGGGGAGCCCCGGAGGCGGGCGAGCCGGTCAGTTCTGCGTGCACGGCCCTGTGTCCGAGCGGCCGGTGGCAGCCAGCCTGGGCACGCAGCCGAGGACGCGGAGGGAGCCTGCCCCAGCCCTGAGCTCGGGCCCTGAACAAACTTTGTGCCCCGCGGGGGCGGCGGGACTCAGACTAGGCAAAGGGCAACGCTGTTGCCGCAGTCGGAGGCCCACGCGTGATCGTTGTGGTGCTAACGGGCTGGGAAGATGAGGAGGGAGATTTGATCCAGGAGTCAGAGGTGTTCGCAAGAGAAGGAACCTCGAAGGTAATTCTGGAGGAAAAACCTGGGGTTGTCTGTGTGGGGTGTGTTTGTCGCTGCGCCTCAGGAATGCGAATGGAAGCCGGAGGGTGAGCCCTAGGCGACTGGGGAAAGTATTTGCCTGGTTTATTTAAAGCGCTGCAGTTGGTCTGTGGAGAGAGGACCCTGTGAGGCTGGGACGGATATTTAAAATCATGGATAATAAACATGTTCACTTTGGAAGATAGTTGGAAGTTCTCCAAGCACACAAAGGACGACTTTCCAGATTTAAGCATCGTGACAGCGGAAGAGTTTCTAACAGTGTAGAGTGTCCT